AGGGGCGCTGCTTGCTCGGACTCAGCACCTTCCGCACTTGACGTGGCAGGATCTGGTTTGTCGCCATCTTCACACGGTTGCGCCTGTTGCGGCAGTCTTGTGCCAATTCTGGGAAGGAGTATGTTGGGACTCCCTCCGTCCGCCACGGATCCCGTCGCACTCGGGCCACCGCTCTCTTCACACGGCTTGGCCAGAGTGGGGCTAGCTCCGTTCGTGCTTGACGTCTCGAGCTCAGGGCCCCCAACTTCACTCCGAGCACGCGCCCATGCCGGCAGCAGTCTCCCCTTGTGCGGTTCAGCTCTCCTCGGCTCTTTCCTACCGGTTCTGGACCCGGCTCGCCTCGGTTTCTCTACGTTGGCAAGGTCTCCTGCTCGCCTGGAAGTCTCTTTGCTGACTCGAGGCCCCCGGGTCGAAACGGGGAATTTGGGAATTTCAGGGATTGTGCAGGCTTCCTGATATTATGGAGTGCATCTTGGGGAGATTTCGGAGCTGCAGTGGCGCTGTGCAGAGGCTGCGAATTGTGGTGGTCTGCTTGGGTGCCCTGATGAAGAGATGTGAGGAAGGTTGTTGTCGTTTCATCGTCGCGTCGTCGTTGTCTTCGTCGTCAAGTTGTTGCTTATGGTGCTATAGCTATAGTGCTTGTGATTTATGCTTGTCACGAAGTCAGTTAGTCGGGTATATGGCCAGTTCATTGCCTGCCTATATGTCTTGCTTGTAGGCGAAACACACCGGTCATACATAGCTTTTATCGAACTGAAACCGCAGGGCTAGTTGAGCTCCCGCCTTGCACTTACACGAGCAATGACTAGATGCCTAGACAAGACCTTGAAGATAATGCACATGGAAGGCGCAGCCTTCGAAACATGACACATAGAGTGACGAGAGACCTGAAACTCAAGACAGCGACATATGACAAGTTACGTCATGCTGAAGTGAATCACTGCTCGCTTTCCACATATTGATCTGTGGAGGTATGGCTGCCACGGATGCCTCGTCGCCAGCAGCCGATGCATCTTGCTTGGACTCCCCCTCATCACTTCGGGGTGCTGCTCGCCCGGATGATGCCTCATCCGTACCGAAAGTAGCCGAGATGGACTTAGCTCCGTTGTTGCGCTGTGCAGCTCAGCTGGGCCTCCCTCCTCCAACTTCTGGCGCCATGCGGCCAGGCTCGAACCTCTCGGTTCAGGCAGAAGCCCGGCTTGCAGTGCCGTTGTTCGTGTCGGACTGCGCAGTTTCAGGTGCCTTTTCGCCTTTGCAAGCTAGCTCCCAAACTGGAGTCGCACCGCCTGCTCCAGACTTCACCCACCTGGAGAGCGCGATGCTGCTGAGAGGCGTCGCCCGATCTGGCCCAGCTCTTCTTGCCTCAAGTGCAGTTGATCTTGGCTTCTTCTTGCCGGTCCGGTCTTTTGCCCGTACCGGACCAAGCCTCAGTGCCAGGATGCTGCAGATGGGCTGTGCACTGTCTTCGTGCCACGCTACGAATCTGGACTTCTTCTTGTCTTTGCATGGAGTGGCGCGATCGGGCTCTCCGCTGTCAGTCTGTGACTCTGCAACCCTGGGCTTCTTTTTGTTGCTGCAGTCCGCTACAAAGCCTGACTTGGGCCTGTCGACCTTGGGTGCCTCTCACGCAGGCTCATGCCTTTCGGTCTCAGGCCTATGTCACCTGGGACCTTTGCTCTTCTTGCGAGGCGTCTCTTGTGTCGGCTTTGCCCTTTTCGTGCTGAGTCTCGTGACCCTTGGCTTCTCATCGCCCCTCCGAAGCTATTGCCATCCTGGTAGTCCCTTGTCTGCTCCGGATGTGGCAGACTTCGAGTTGCCCTTGCCTTTGCGGGGCTGCGCATGCCTGGGCTTCTTTGCGCCACCACTCAGCTGCGCGCACCTTGAGCCAGCTCCCTCAACTTCTGACGTGACAGGCTTAGACTCCTCTTCGTCTCTCCAAAGTTCCGCCTGTCCCGAGCCGCCGCCTTTTGTCGAAGGTCTCCTCCGCGCCAGTGGGTTGCTTCATGTTGGACTGCTGGTGTCTGCTCCGGGCATGGCAGGTTTGGCATCCTCCTTGTTACTGCATGGCGTGGCTTGTTTGGGAGTTGCCCTTCTCGTGCTGGATTGTGCACAGCCAGATAGCTTCTTGCTGCTGCAGGGTGTTGCAAGGCTTGGCGCAGCTCTCCTTGCGTTGAGTTCGGTTGAGCTTGGCCTCTTCCTGCCTATCCGGTCTTCTGCACGCACAGGATCGATTCTGAGTGCGAGGATGCTTGAACTTGGCAGCGAATTGCCAGTGATTCATGCGACTAGCTTGGGCTTGCTTTCGCCACTGAAAGGAGTGGCGTGGTTAGGCCTTCTGCCACCAGCATGTGACCTCACGACTTTAGGACCCCTCTCGCCCCTGCGGTCGCTGCTGCAGTTGGGATCCACGATACCTCTCTTCGGAAGCTGCTCAACGGAGTCGGTGCTGTCGACACTGGGCGGCGTGCAACTCGGATCCTCCTTGTCCTTGCGAGGCCACTCGCATGCTGGATGGGCTTTGTCCCTTTTCAGTGACGCAGCGCTGGGCTCACCGACATTGATACACAGCTTGGCAAAACCAGGCCTTCCCATGCTCCTGCTGGATATGGCTGAACTTGGGAGTTCTGTGCCCTTGCGCTGCCATATTTGCACGAGCACCTTGATGTCCGCATGCGGAGCTGCCCGGACAGGCTCCCCTCTTCTTGCCTCGGAGCCCACAAACTTGGAAAGTCCTCTGTCCTTGAGAGGTGCGTCCCGAACAGAACCGCTGATCTCCGCCTGCGGGTCGCTTTGCTTGGGCTCCCTGTCGCCTGTCCCGACTGGCGTCCAGTCAGACCCATCTCCATTCTTGCATGGTGTGTCTTGTTTGGGCGCCGCTGTCCTCGTGCTGAGCTGCGTTCCGCCGGGTAGTTCGTTGCTGCTGCGGGGGGTTGCAAGGCTTGGCCCAGCTCTTCTTGCCTCAAGTGCAGTTGATCTTGGCTTCTTCTTGCCGGTCCGGTCTTTTGCCCGTACCGGACCAAGCCTCAGTGCCAGGATGCTGCAGATGGGCTCTGCACTGTCTTCGTGCCACGCTACGAATCTGGACTTCTTCTTGTCTTTGCATGGAGTGGCGCGATCGGGCTCTCCGCTGTTAGCCTGTGACTCTGCAACCCTGGGCTTCTTTTTGTTGCTGCAGTCCGCTGCAAAGCCTGACTTTGGCCTGTCGACCTTGGGTGCCTCTCACGCAGGCTCAAGCCTTTCGGTTTCGGGAATCTGCACTTCAGATCTCTTTCTGTCCTCACGAGGTGCATCTAGATCAGGCTTGCCCCTTTCAACTGCTGACTCCGCATCTCTTGGCCCTGCCACCCCCCTGCGAGGA